CGGTGTGCGGGTGGCCGAGCCCTGGATCTCCCGCGCGCAGCCAATCAGCTCCGCGCTGCCGGGAGCCGCTCTCCACACCGCGTCAGTCAGCCGCGCATTTAACCAATCGCGGCGCTGGCCAGAGGGATCGGTTTACTAGAACTAGACACAGGTCAAAACCCCTTAAAAAGCAAAACCAAAAACTAAGCAAATACTTCGAAGAAGGCAAATGCAGAGAAAAGAGAGTAGTTGGAAGTGTGGGGTGGATAAAGACGATGTTGGACGCTGTAATGAACGTGAATCAGTTTGTTTAAAAAAAATCTTCATAATGCTTGCAAATTGATGCGATTGTGAAGACTTTTTTTTAACACGTTTTCCTAATTCCAAGCAACAGCCCAACATAACAGAAATTCTCCGCTCCGCGGTTTATTCTTTGACGCTTATGTACAGAAGCAGGCTGCTTCTCAGCTACTCGGATGGACAAACTGAACTTAGGGGCGTCTTTTAAATTCCCTAATAAAAGCCTGGGCTTTTGCAAAGACTAAGGGAAGGTGCGTCTAAAATACAACACCTTTCCGGGTGACAGGAAGCAGAACGGGAAAGGGAGGACAATACTGCTGACATGTGTTAGTTTTGGAAGACAGTTTACATTTTTAAACAATATTTTAAGACCCTACACAAGTCCCAGTCAGCTGACAACATATCTACTTACAAACATACACAATGATATGTTTGTAGATTAGAAAGCCAAAGCAAAACAAAAAACAAAACAAAAACCACAGGAGCACTTCACCGGCATGGCTGGGTGGATACTAACTGTATCAGTCAGATATACATGCTAATTCAGAGGCAGTCTAGGTCACAACCTAAGGTATATCGGCCACCCCACCACAGGCAGAAGCCAAGCAGGCAGGAATAGCCTCCCCTGCCCTCACTAGTCACTTCCTGGGAATTACTTGAGTGCCTTAAAATCAGAGAGCTAGGGGTGTGATCAAGAATGGACAGGAGAAGGTACAAGCAGTTCTTGAAGTTCTCTGCTGTGTCTGTCCTTCAGGGTGACTGGAGGGGTAGCCAAGGAGGCAGTGTGGTGCCACACCAGGTGGCAAATGGGCTACCACTCTTAGTTGCAAGGCAGGACACAGCTGGAGTTGCTGCTGGCCCAGGCAGCTTGATTATAAAGCTCTGGGGACTCTTACTTGCAACTCTATAGACCTAATTTCTTGGTTCCAAGTAAAAGCCCTGGAGCTTGCAAAGATGCAGGGATTTTTTTTTTTTTAAAGCAATCACACACACACATGTGTGACGATGTGTGACTCCACTGCACAACCGGGAAGCAGCTGCAGGTGGTCACCATGTCTATCCTTCCCAGGCCCAAAGACAAACAGGCAGATTTGGGTTACAGGGAAAGGTCGGGCAGAGCAAGGCTGTGGATGACCAGGGGTTAATCAAGAAACGGCCTGCAATGCTGTCCTGCCTAAGGAGCTAGGAAACCACATTCTTCACAGAGAATAGAGACAGGAGACCAGGACTGGGTCTCAATTCAACCAGCAGGGCTAAAACTGTTTGCTAGAGCACCCTTTTTCTCTCCTCAGGCTAGACCCTCTTTCCAGGCTAAAGTGTCTGTTTGCTCGCTCATTGGAAAGATTAGCATTAGAAGATAAAGAGCCTTTGCCCTCTGAATCAAGGTTGAGCCCACCCCTCACTTACTTGTGTACAATTCCCCCAAATAGCTGGACTTGGGTCTACCCTCAGGTACAATGCTGGGAATGAGTGCAGGTGAGTTCACAAATCCATTCTCAGGAAGAAGTAGTCTACATCCAGTCAGCCTTGTTGACTTAGATGCCCCAGTGTTCACCTCTGTGCTTTGCCCTCTGGCATTCTGCCATGGATACAACTGTCAGTTCAGATGAGGAATGTCAGTAGTTGTGTATTTCTGAATCCTTCTAAGGTCCATATGGGAAGGAAGACAGAGTCTTGATGTCCATCCCACTTGAGATGAAAAATGTCCCTGTAGGCCACCCTGCAGGACAGTGTCAGCCAAGGCAGGCTACACATACTTTCTAGTTTTCGTATCACTAGACTGTAGGCACATTTTTCATCGGGACTGTCAGCTCCCCAATAATGACACAGAAACTTATTAATTATGAAAGCTTGGCCGATAGCTTAGGCTTGTTTCTAACTAGCTCTCATAACTTAAATTAACCCATTTCCTTTTAATCTACTTCTTTTATGTGGCTCGGTTGCCTTTACTTTGTAATGCCGGTGCTGCTTCCCTGTGTCCTTGTGTCTCCCCCTCCCAGTGTCCTCTGTGCCTGGAAATCCTGCCTAGCTATTGGCTGTTCAGCTTTTTATTAAACCAATCAGAGTGAGATATCTTTACACAGCATAATCAAATATCTCACGACACTAGATCACATGCTTTAAAATCTAATCTCCCTTTCATATACAAGAGAAAGTTCTAGAACAAGGGATGTTTAAAATGCTATTATCCTATCACAGCTCTCAGAAACCTTGGTTTCTGAGTTTGACAACTATAAATCAGGAGAAGCCCATGGCTTCCTCCTGCCCTAATAGTTTAGGTAAGCAGGGACAGCATGAAGCTTTACCCTTGCCTTTTTTTCACACAACTAGGTGCCTCTTCATGAAAACTGGGGAGCACTTTCTCTATTGCTTCACATCAGTTTAAGGGGGCATTTACCCATCTCAAAGCTGACAGGAAATCAGGGTCACTGAGGGGCTCCCAGTACCTAGCTGGTGGCTTCTTTCCACACAGAGAGCTTAAAATCGGGAGAGGAAGAACCTGCCTAGGCTGTGGCTCCTCTTCTGTTCCCTTAGCATTTCACCAGTGATTTGTAGGCCACTTCAGGAATAAGATGAGCAGACACTCACACTCTCAGATTAGCAGAGCTGCCAGGAACAGAAGGGCTACTTCCTGCCTACAGCCAGGTAGTGGTGGCTCTAGCATAAGGCAGAAAGGAGTTGGGAACCATGGTTTGTGGCTTCGGTTATGCCCCCAAACGTTTCCAGCTCCCAGGGTATGACCTGCTTCCATCTCTCTGGGTTTAACCCACTTGCCTGTGAGGAGAGCTAAGCATGCTTACTCGGCTACTTGTGACCTGATCTGCTACTTATGAAATACAGAGTGTGGCCTCTTGGCCTGGCCTAGTGGCACATGCTTTAACACCAGCACTTGGAAGGCAAAGATAGGAAGATCTCTGTGAGTTTGAGGCCAGCCAGGATGACACAGGGAAACACTGTCAAAAAATATTTTTAATTGAATTATCAGTATCCAGGACCATAAGAGGTACAGATTTGCAGTCAAGTATGAATGCCTTCACACAACACTCAATGTGAGACATTACAAAGTGTGTTGATGTTCTTACTTGGACAGGCTGCTTCTCCAGTCTACCTTGGAGTGATTAACTTTGAATTTCCTGACTCCTTTACCAATTGGCCTGCCCATCGATGGGTTTAGGAGTCTGGAATTCATCTTCAAACATCAGAGTCAGGCCTGGTTCTTTAAACCTACGACAAGGCGAGAATCCATGATGGAGAGGTCCAAAGCCCTAAAAGGGAAACTACAACTGTTATTTTGCTAAATGATCACAATGCTAAATTATCTCCCAAATACTTGTGTTTATGGCCATAACTTCCTGCTGCTCTCGATTTCATCAGAGATGCTTCTTATGCAGCAGGTGAGAGCTAGAGCAGACTCACAACTGGTCAAAACAAGTACATGACTATGCAGTGCAGCCCTGAGTAGGACAGTTGTATTACTTCCTCCAAGGCTTAGGCGGCATCTCAGAAGAGGGTACAGAAAGAATATAAGAGCCAAAGGATGGAGAGACGTACACCAAAAGGGACACCTTGTGGACATGGCATACCCAGTGCACTCATGAACTGACTGCGGCTGCACAAGGCTGAGCCCATCAACTTTTCCTCACAGATGGTGGAAGGGGCCTTTGCGGTCCTACTCCTCCCAGGGGTCTACTGGCGGCTAATGGTTGCTGAAGTAGAGGTATAATTTCCTTCAGTGTTGTAGCCACTTGTAAATAACTTCCTATAATGTGCATGCGAGCAGTTCTAATGGAATGCCATTGAGTGGATCACACACAAACAAAGACAACCAAGTAGAAAGGGGATTTACTGCAAAGAAGGATTTCAGGGGGCATGAGAGGGGGATGAGAGAGGGGAAAGTGGTGTCAGGGCCAAACGAAATCCCATTGTATACATCCCTTGGCAAGGTTCTTAGCTGGTGTAGCTGGGCATCTCAGCTGCCAACACCAGGCCTTCTTGTTTCTTTAGGACACAGCCACCCTGATGATGCAGTCCACTAGAAGTTTCTTCCTTCCCTGGAGGGGAACTTTACTCCCTGTAATACATCTCATGGGGCTGCATAGCGCTGGTTTCTATCTACACCCCATTGTGGTCCTGGGAAGACAGAATGAGCCATTTATTCCCTGGAGGGAGAGGCTGTGGACACTGTCCCTGCCTCGATGTTCAGAGGTGTGCTTCCCCACTCTCCAGAGAGTCTTTGTCAAGTTGAACTTAAACACTTGCTCATTCCTGAATACTATAATTTGTTTATAAATATATGAATTGTGGATCAAAGCTCTAAAAAGAACTAGACTTAAATCGCACAATTGGACACAAATTTGTAAAAATAGAAATTAAAAAGTCGAGTATTTC